TGACAACCATACACAAATTCTTCTTACCATTGATGTTTAGTCTTTTCTCGCTTTCTTCCCTACTTTCTATGAGGAGTTCTTCTATTTTCTCTGCTATCAACACTGTGTCATCTACATATCTTTTGTTGTTAAGATTGTGATTGCCAATAATGAATACTAATTCTCTCAAAATCGCTTCACTGTATATTTTGAATAAATTTGGGAGAAGAGACATTGTCTTACGCCTCTTCCTATTTTGGCATATTTACTGAATTCATTTTCTGTCCACTTGCAGGCAGTTTGGCTCCAGTATGTTTTGTAATTTCTAATTCCCTTCCCAAATAACCCAAGCTTACCTAGCAGTTCTAATACATTTTTTGTTACGTACCTTGTCAAAAGCTTTTACATAATCTGTAAAACATAGGTTTGCATCCTTTTGCATTTGTATAGATCGTTCTGACATGTTTATGAGCTTCATTATTGCATTCTTTAACGAAACCGTGCTGTTCTTGTTCTGTTACAGTCTACTTCTGATTCGGACTCTATTCATTAGAATTCGGATACGTTTTCTTATTTGGCTCATTAGGCTGGTTATTCGATGTAGTTCGTATTCGTTTGCACCTGTTTTTTTTTTGTTTTTACGCAGCGTCCTGGAGGTGGATATACTTAAGGTATACAGTAACAGGTTATTATTATCATTATCATCATTTTCTTTGATTTCTGGCGTTTACACATTTCTTTCCGGGTCCCGCCCAGGGACCTAAGGTTAGAAATGGCGTCATGACACTTTCCACTGGCAAAAAAAAAAAAAATTAAATTACATAGATAAAGCCCTTCGTAAGGTTTGGGCTGTACTTGTCAGAACAATTTTTTGTATCTCCTTGAGGCATGGACTTCCAGGAATCCCTTCAATTAGTCTACTGCAATCTTTTCCAACCAGTCCTAGGGCTCCAACTACAACAGGGATTGTTGATGTTCCCATATGCCACATTTTCGAGATTTCTATTTCAAGGTCCTTGTACTTTGACAACTTTTTGAATATCTTCAAAGATACATTGCAGTCAGCAGGGACTGCCATATCAATAAGGAGGCACCGTTTTTGTTTGTGGTCTTTAATAACAATATCTGTTTATTATTATTATTATTATTATTACTTGTGTATGTTATGTTCCCTGCGTTGTATCCCCTAGAACCGAGTCTAAACTATGGTTCTTAGTGCCTATAGGAAAATTGTTATTTAATTAATAGGACTTTTCTTAGTATATGGTATGTTCCTAGTAGAGTCATCTGGACATTTTGTATGTTGATATTACCTGGGGAAATTGCCCATTCCTTTTCTCACGAGGCCTAGAGATCTAATTACTGTTGGTACGATCTCAGTCTTCATTCCCCACATCCTGTTAATCTCAGTTTCCAGGTCTTTGTATTTGAACAATTTCTCGATAATTTTCATGGAGATAATTCTCTCAGATGGTACTGCTATATCAATAATACACTTTCTGAAATTCTTGTCTTTTATGATAATATCAGATCTGTTAGTTTTTATTTCTCTGTCAGTATTGGTATGTCCCAGAGGATAGTTGCATCATTATTTTGGTTAACTGTTTGGTTGGAGCTCATACCATCTCTCAGTACTCTTATTAATAAATATAAGATAAAACCCTCCAGGAAAATAAAGCCCCGCTGTCCTAAATTGAGCTGGTAAATTAATTTTGAAAAAGTGCACAACCTTAACATTTTAGGCGATTCTTCGAAATACAGAGGATGACTGCCCGAAACTATTGATCTACAGTCTATATTATACATTTTTGTGTACAATATATAATAACATTTCAAAAAAACAGGCTGTTTCATGCTAGGCCCGACGATTGCGTTCAGCATAAAACAGCCTATCGCCTCTAAGTGTTGACTTCAATGTTCACTTTTTATATTTACACACGCTCTATCTCTGATATTGAGCACTTTATTCCATAAATATACCACACCTTAAGAGTATATTTTTTCATATATATATATATATATATATATACTAGTAGTGAAGCCCGGCGTTGCCTGGGGATGTAACAGTAAGAGATAGATCAAGTATCGACCATCATAAAGACTGAAAAATAAAATTGACAAAGATTATTGTTTAAGGTTGACGGATACGCATGTCTTAATTTTTTTTTTTTTTTTTTACGAATTGTCAAACCCAAACTCAAACAAAATATTGTTTTCAATCGTTATGAGTCTACCGATTGAATAGAATTTTATTATAAACAATTGTCTTGTAAATGGAATTTTTTAAGCATTCTGAATGTAAAAAAAAAGAAAAAAAAAGTGGCAAGACAATAAGAAACACTACCTTTGCCCCCCGCCAAAGTGAAGTTTTGTTGAAATCGGTTGAAAAATGTAGGAAATCCGATCCCATATAAAAAACAACACACACACACACACACACACACAGTCAGAAACACACACACACACACACACACACACACACACACAACCTGGGTTTTATAATAAGTATAACTCGATATGAGTTGTCCCCCTTTCATTCTCGTGATGCCTATTAATCGTATTTTCAAATTGATTTCGTGCAAAAACAATTGTGTTTTTCCAATTTTGGGCGCTGTTAGAATCACCGCAAGGCAATTTTACGTAGTCCTGTGAAGTTTTGTTGAAATCGGTTGAAAAATGTAGGAAATCCGATCCAATATATAAACGTACACACACACACACGCACACAATCTGCGTTTTATAATAAGTAAGATGTGTGTGTGTGTGTGTGTGTGTCTGTGTGTGTGTGTGTGTATATTCTAAAAATATTTTCATTGAATTTGTTCGAATGAGGTTCTTCTTGGTGTCTCGACTGCATGCATTTAAGCTTATTACTAGATTGGCAAGTAGGTCTCACTATTTTACTGTTGAACTAAATAGATTCAACCATCTGTTCTATTCTACCTTCCGATTTCTTGCTTACCTGCCAACTACAATCTTAAAAAATTTAAATGCAACACCAATCGACATGTCCTGTACCTTTTTGAACCCTGTTCTTTTATTGTCTTTTCTCCTCACTAAGGTTTTCTCATTCTCTTGCACTCCCAGTAACCATTTGCTTCCTAGTAACATTATCGCCTTGCCTGGGGGGGAAATGATTTCAAAAGTATATATATGCCAAAGAAACAACGATACGTGTGTGTGTCTGTGTGTGTATAATTACATATGTAAGTCTGTGAGTAGGCTGTTTAATGATTATAAAAATACTTATTGTATGCAACAAATATTTAGATTGTGATATTATCGCTTTCTTTTTCAATGCGTTTAATACAATGTTTCTTCAGAAATCACATCGATTGTCTTGCATTCTTTTTTTTTTTTAATGAAGAACGTGAATGACTTCAGATTGGTTAATTTAGAATGTCATCTCGCCTTTTCTACTGTAGCCTTTGTTAACCATTTAGCGTCGTCATATTTCAGTTAATTCGCATCATCTGTCTTTGGAATAATCCTTAGATCACCACGTCAAAGCCCATGATGACTGGAAATTTGTGAATAAAAGAAAAATAATATAAAATGAGACTCTGCTTTCATCCAGCATCATTACGGGTTTATGGCCGCATCACATTAAAACACCAGTTCGCATACGATCACCGAAGTTAAGCAACGTCGAGCTTGCTCAGTACCTAGATGGGTAATACATGGCGCTGTACGCTTGGATTTGTTATGTAATGGATAGTGGCTCGGAATTTTTTTATCAGAGAGCCGAGTTCCCATTTCAGTTGGGTTTCGTTATATTTACCTATGCGTAAATACTACTGGGAAAGCTATGGATCCACCTCATCTCCTCTCAGCTATGGGGTAATTAGTAAGACTTTTATAACTATACTATTATCTTCAAAAATAAAACAAAATTGCGTACAAATTATTTGAAGTTCGACATTAAATAACCCATAGAGATGTTGATATGCCACTAAACAAAAACAACCAGCCGACAATCAACTCTCTTACGGAAACACAGCGATGTCTGGTTGTATAGGAAAGTATTACCGGGCGCCCTGTGTTGGTTGTAATAACTTTTCGACCCCGAAACGATGCTTGATTCTAACCATAATCTGACAAATGGTTTGTGAAAGGGATCGTAGAACTACGCAAGAACAAGTATTTGAAATAAGTGATAATTTCAGTCCCAAAATCTTACTAATTACATAAGGTTACTAGACTTCGTACACCGCTTATAGAGGTATCTATCTATCTAGCTACGTAAATTAATATACATAGCCTAATGATGAAAAGCACTTATTATAGAAAACACATACGTTTCAATTTCCTTCTTTGTCAATATACACTTTTTAAACTAAATACCGGCAAGTATAAAGTTGAGAGCCACTCAAGGTAGAGGGTTACAGTCGAAATGTTAATGATCCGTAGACTTTTGAAATGAGTGGAAGAGAAGGTGGTAGCAAGTGGGGTTATAAGGGTAGATAAGGACTGGCCCTTGATTTGCAAATGTTAAAGATTAAAGTATTCAGCTAAGTACCCACGTGAGAGTTCGTATACGAAGTGGCATTTCTTAGAGAAAAAAGAACTGTCAAAATGGAAATTACACTTGAAACAGAGAGGAGGAAGTAACGGTGTGTCATAACAGGAAACGTCTGAACTGGAGCTCGTCTGAATATTTGCCACGGAAATAGCTATAGAGTAGCAAGTCTTGCAACGTTGCGTCCGTTAGGAAAGAGGTTGTAGAAGGGAAAATTGGTTATCCCCCAAAAGACCCCGTAACAATTTTTGAACTTTGTTAAGTCCGGTAAGTAGGGAGTAAGTGGTAACTGTTGGGAATAAGAAATCCTAAAGCAGAGTTCGAATTCAAATCTGGTTCCTTACATGCACTTACACGCAAATAGCCTTTTCCTCAGCTCTGCATTAAATAGTAAGTTTTATACAGAAAACATTGCTATTGTCAAATTTTTTTCTGTTATCTATCTATATTTTTCTGTTATCTATATATCTATCTATCTAACTTTTTCTGTTATCTACTTCAGTTATCTATCAGTCTGTTTCAGTTATCTATGAATCTATCATTTTCTGTTATTTCTCTATCTCTGTCATCTATCTATCTATCTATCTATCTATCTATCTATCTATCTATCTATACGCCCTGCTACAGTTGTATGCTTGTTTTACAGTCTGTTTTCAATATGTTTTTTCTCAATGGGCACTCGTTATTCGTGTCCCTATAAAACCGGGTATGCATGATCCTCACTCTGATGACATTGCGAGCTTTTTAATCCTTACTGACTTTTAATGCTCTTTTAATCTCTCTATTTATCGATCTATCTTTTTTTTTTTAAATGTCACTTTGCCCATGTAGTATAAGATTTTGAGTTTTAAAAGAGATTTCAAACATCAGTTCTTGAAGAATTTATTTTTTAAATTAAATCTAATACAGAAAAAAACATGGTAGCAAAATTTTTCATTTGATTAATTAATCGGTTAAGCTTCAGAAAAAGCGGAAACTTATACTGAACATCGGGACGAAATTTCTAGAGTACATAAGTAGAAAATATGGATTGGAAAATCTGATACACCCAGGACGTATTGAAGGCAAGAGGGACAGTGGAAAACGACGCATAACATACTTAGTGAACTTGTGCAAATGGCTGGCGGAACTAGGTTTAGAAGAAATAAAAAAAAAAAATTATTAAGCGCTACGAAGGACAGGAAATTGTGGAGATCCGTGATCGCCTACGTCCTGAATGGACACAGTACATACAGAGGATTTTCAACTTGTATAACAATGGATTATAATGACTAAGTTTATATTCATACAAAATGGAATTTGAAAAAGAAGACATATATATATATATATATATATATATATATATATATATATATATATATATATATATATATTGTTATGTAATAAATGCGGATTAAATAACATCAAAGAGCGTCACTTTAATTTTTATGCCTAACTGGATAAAGATTAGTGTTACTGGAACTGTTTGAAAACAGAGAGGAAATAGATTGGCCTTCTACAATCTCTAAGACCCGATATAAACATTAGTATATCTGTGATACATTAACGGAGAAATTAAAAATATTTGTCATGAAAGACACACACACACACACACATATATATATATATATATATATATATATATATATATATATATATATATATAACACTATATTTAGCGGATATACATACTTGAGCAGACGTGATATGCATGTACCAGTAGATGAAATAAACAGTTGCAAAAACGTTTCAAATACGGTATCCAGTAGAAATAACGTTTAAATTAATAAAAATGTATCATATTAGAAAATAAAATTTATGAATTATATATATATATTAAAGGCAACACCCAGAGGCGACATTCTGTTTCATGATTGAATACAATCGCAATGCTTTCACGGTTGAGTTTAAGCATGAAACAGATTGTCACCTCTGGGTGTTGACTTGAATATCCACTTTTATATTTACATACGCTCTATCTCTGATATTGATCACTTTAACCCATAAATATAACTTTCCTTTAAACTATATTTTATCATATATATATTCTTGTTATTTATTATGCTTCCGTTATAATTATGCTTCCGTTATTTCAACATGTGGATGATAAAAATATAGATTTAAGATGTTATATTTATGAGTATAAGAGCAACATCCAACAGCGACTGTTTCAGGCTTCAGCGCAATCTTTATGCTTGATAAAACTGACTGACACCGTTGGATGCTGACCAAACAAACAACTAATAACCAATGTGACGCAAGAAGAAACCAAGAAACAGACAAAAGAAAGAAAAGAAAACACGTAAAGGAAAATACTCAAAGCCTCTAGAAATTGGACTAAGATATTAAAATTAGACTTAAACAGCACTCACTATTTACATTATTTGAACTATTGGCCTCATCCTTGTCGCCATATTTATTACAACGAAATAAAGGGTTCAGTTCCACATTCCAACCACCGGAGCGTACAACGGCTGAAACGTTGTAATAAATATGGCGACAAAGATGAGGACAATAGTCCGAATAATATAGTTCCATATCTATTAACTGAGTGCTGTTTCTGTCTATATTTCTGAGATGAGGTATTATGTACACTAAGTTTTTATCTGTCGATCCCTTAGCGTGGAAATAAGTTCCAAAGCCTATGTGTCTATTTAACTTATATCTATATTATATACTTATATTCAACATTCAGTACATATACAAGCAATAATTTGTCCTATCTAGCGAAATGCAGGCAAGCAGTATGTGAAGGGTAAGATTAAAATGGTCTTGCATATAATATCTCCAATATAGGCACATTCCTGTGGTATTTTTCGGTTCGTTTTCTTTTTTGGAGTCATTTAATATATGCTGGGAAAAACGAAACATAAACTGACTGCACTCTCCAAGGGACTGTCACATGCCCCTTAAGACTGCCTTGAGATATTCTCCTTTCAAAAAATGAAAATAACCTATATATACAATAGCGCTGAAACTGGTGTCAGCGCCAACATCCGAAATGCTACGTAAATTTTCGCAAAAATTTACCAGAATGCTCAAACTCAATGCAAAAATAATACAGAATATCGTTGCTATGTTTTCTTGGCAAGACCCTTTCAATCACTGTATATTTTCGAAAAGGGTTTACTACGAAGATGATGGTGGAATCTATGTTTTAGGGGAAGAAATTTTCATAGTTAAATTGCCTTGACTTTTGGTTCGCGTATTGTATATAGTATTTTTCTATAAAAATAGGTAATATAATGTTATTTTCTATTTAGATCAATCCAATCTGTCTTCCTTGTGGATGTGATTTTCAATATTTGGCAAATTCTTTCTTGTTGTTATTGTTGTTAAGCTGGTCGCAGTTGAAACGGCCCGAGTCACTTCCACTTCATCGGAAACAAGTCCGCAAACGAACGCCCGTTTTTTGTTTTTTTTACCCAGATATTTACATTCATTTCATGGATATTCTTATTTCCACATGGAAAATTCCAGGATATATTGAATCACCTGCAGAAGGAGAACCGCTGCAGTATCAAAAACAATTCTTCTGCGTCTCGAATGGTTTCTTCTTCTTCATTTTCTTCTTCATTTTCTTCTTCATTTTCTTCTTGAATTTTTTCTTCTTTTTTCGACTGATTGTTTTTTATTATTCCGCCTTTTCTTCTTAAATTATGTCTACTTCTTTTTCGACTTCTGTTTTTTCTATACCTTCCTCTTTTCTTTTTAAATTGCTTCTTCTTCCTTTTTTTTTCTTCTTGAATTGTATATTCCTCTTTTTCTTCTTGGAATGTTTCTTCTTCTTTTATTTCTGGGGGATTGTTTCTTTTTATTCTTCTTTTTCTTCTGGAAGTGGTACTTCTTTTTTCTCTTTTTCATCTTGGATTGTTTCTTCTTCTTTATCAATTTAGGACTGTTTCTTCTTCCTCCTTTTCTTCTTGACTTGTTTCTTACCCCTCTTTTTCTTCTTGAATTTCTCTTCTTCTTTCTCTTTTTTCTTCTTGAATTGTTACTTCCTTTTCTTTTTCTTCCTGAATTGTTACTCGTTCCACTCATTCTTGACTTTTGTCTTTTGTCGTGGGTTACCTTTTCTTTCTCTTTTGTTCTCTTGTTCTGCATAAATTGTTTCTTCTTCCATTTTCTTGAAACTTTTCTTCTTCTTTTAGAACTCATCCTGTTTCCTCTTTGTCTTAGATTGTTTTTTTTTCTTATTTTATTTGTAGAATTGATTCTTCATTTTTTTTTTCGTGTGTTTGTCTTGTTTTACTTCATCTTCTTGAATTGTTTATTTTTTCCTTCTTTTTGAATTGTTTTCTTTACCTCTTCTTTTTGAATTGTTTCTTCCTGTTTTTCTTCTTGAATTGTTTATTCTTCTTCCTCTTTTTCTTTTTAAATTGTTTAGTCTTTCTTCTCGGATTGTTTCTTCTTCTTCTTTTCTTCTCTCTGTTCTCCTTGAATTCTTCTTCCTCTTCTTGTTGA